ATCGTAGTGGTTGGGGAGGGGCAATATCCAAGGTTTCACAATGTCTTTGAACACAGCGATCTTGAGCAGGGGGCTGTTTGGTAGTACAGGCCACGGTGCTACTCTTGTTGTCGGGGTGATTCTGTAGAGAAACTGTAGAGATTGTGCAACGCGAAAAAAAAGCAGTTCTGTCCTTGAGGAAAAAATTTGTGTGTAAATCTTAGTGTTTGGGCAAGTTTTATGTTTTTTTTGTTTCTTTTTTAAAAAAATTTTGGATCTTTGCTTGCTTTCGTTTTGGTTTGTTTATTGAGTTTTTTTGTTTTGTTTTCAATCCTTTGTTTGTTTTAGTTTTGCTGCCGCAGGAAGATTTTATTTTATTTTGTACTCTAGTGTTTCCCGACCGCCAATTTACGCTGCTAGGTATGTGCTTCTGTAGGTGGTTGGGGAAGACATCGCTCTGACGTCTTACTTCTGTACTTTTTGTCCAATATTTCTGTCTATCTGTCTCTCTGACATGTTCATACCCGCCACCGAATGGCTGTTATCATGTCGGTGTGCTTCTGTTCCTCAAACGAAACGAATTGGTTACTAAATACTCCTTTGCTGCCTTCCTTACTTTATTTTACCCTTCTGAATAATCCTCAGTAGTCTCAGCAGGTGGTTCGAGACCGCCATGCGAGTGGTTGGCTGGTGCTTGAGGTGTAGTTTGCTCCTTCTGGTCTATCAAACATCTGTCCTCTTTGATTCTCCTACTTCTTTTCTTTACTCGCTAGCAACGTCTCTAATCCTCGCCACTTGTAGGACGTATTTGTGTCGCAAGTACCGTAAAATTCTTACTAACACTAATAACCTGAAAACGGGCGCCACTACATGATAGATCCTACTTTTTTTTTACGTTCCGTTTGCTATTTCTGTCTGCGTATACGCCTTGCTCTTTTCCAGTACTTGATGACTGTTATTTTGTCAATGTACTTCTCGTCTCTGTCAATCCAGTTTCAAACTTAGAAAAACATGAATAACATTTAGCCCCCCCGGTCCCCCAATCTGCGGGTGGTTGATGGGTGCCACTAGTAGGTTCACTTTTTTTCTTTCACTTTGTTGTTTCTATTTATTTGCCTTGCTTCTTCCTTGCACCATATTATGACCATTATTATGTCGATGTGCTTCTCTTCACTCAAACTCAAAACTAAAACGCACTGATCGTCTTCCCCAGCGCGGCCCCAGCAACCAGCGAACACCGAGGCGGAGGGTGAGCCGGCCACCAGCTACCGTTACCGTGGTTACGCCAACAACGCCTTCCACCCGGGCCGCTACTTCCGCACCAACCACTCCTACCAGCAGCGCCGATGGCCCGGCACGTTCGGCAACCAGCGAGCAGGCGGCGCCTACGGCAGCACAGGGGCGGCCCCCGGGGCGCAGTCCGACAACGCCCCTGGAAAACCCAAAGTGATCACCATCGTCAGGAGCGGGCCTCGTCCCCGCCACAACGTGAAGATCTTGCTCAACCGGCGCAGCGTGCAGTCGTACGAGCAGCTGGTCTCGGACATTTCGGAGGCTTTCGGCCCTCGGTACCGCCTGAACAAGGTCCGCAAGCTGGTGTCAGTGAGGGGCAGAGAGGTCCAGGGTGTCTCAGATTTCTTCCGCGATGACGACTGTTTTATAGCGCTGGGCGTAGGCGAGGTGGCAGTTTCCGATGCGGATGTGGCGGATATTCTGGAAGAGCTGTACCCGGATCAGCAGCAGGCGCGGGCGCTGTTGAAGGACTGGGAGAGGAATCAACGGAGGAGGAGGAAAGGCGCTAGTCCCACGGGTCAGTCTGTCAAGTCTCAGAACCAGGTGGGGGGCAAAGGTCACCTCACGTCCGAGGTACCGGATAAACGGGACAGCGGATTCGATTCCAGTGATGCGAGTACGAATCGGTCGGAACCGGATCATGGTGGCGCCGGAAGGGGAGGGCTTGTGGCGTACCGGTCACGGAGAAAGGCTGGGAAGGATAGAGAGAACGAGAAGGATAAAGAGAATCAGTCTGAGGAAGGTGGCTCCCCTCCCCCGCACGGGTATTATCTCATGAGGAAGTTGGAGAGGGACAGAATGAAGGCGGCGGCAGATGAGAGGGAGAGGGCCAAGAGGAGACAGCAGAAGATGGTGGAGGCGGAGAGGAGGGCCATAGATGAGGAGAGGAGGAAGAGGGGTTTGATTCCTCTCAAAAACATCGACAATCCGTTCAAGAAAAGTGACGACGCTAGAGAGAAGGAGCGGGAGGATGCAAAGAAGAGGAAAGAAGAGGAGAAGAGAAAGAAGGAAGAGGAGAAGGAGAAGGCGGAAGTGGAGAGGAAGCAGAAGGAGGAGAGGGATGCGGCGGAGACCGCAGCAAGAGAGAGAATGGCAAAGGCAGAGAAAGAGGAGAAGGAGAAACAGGAGAGAGAGAAGGCAGATAAGGAGAAGCAGGAGAAGGAGAGAAAAGAGAAGGAGAAGGCTGAGCGGGAGCAGAAGAAGAAGGCGGAGAGAGAGGACAGGTCGC